GCTGGATCCTTTTATCTCTACCGAGTACCGACCAGTTGGGGCCGTTTACATGAGCATAGGGAATTCCGATTCTAAGGTTGCTTTCTGAACAGGTACTTAATAGTGGACCTTGAAGACAATAAGGGAATAAGATATAATCTAGAAGTTAATCATCTTTAATCAGACTTTGTTATCTTCCTTTTTGTCAGTTAAGGACACTTTTATCCTAGCACTGTGTATTCTTCATTGTCTTTAAACAAAATTACAGCTTCTCATAAAACAAAGAAAAATGGTTCCAGTCAGTATCTTAATTCATGAAATATCAGCATTTCTTATTGATCCATACTCCTGTTAATTTAGGTTCAGAAGAATGACTGGCCGAAATGAAGTCACTATATCCCCCAGAGACTACAAATTCTATGCTCCAAGACACAAGTATAGACGTGCGTCAAACTCAATTTCCAACATCACTGGTTTTTCAGTAAGTTTTGATGATCTTGTAGTCATCAATCATATGTAATTATGTATCTTTTTTCCTTTTCTGTTGTTTGGAAAATGGATTAGTTTTTTTTTCTGCTCATGTCTATCAGGCATTCACCAGCACGGACAATGCGTCTTCATTAGCTGCAGGTCAAAGCTACCGCTCTGTTAGTGAAGTAAGTATTTTCTCTTTTCCAACATCTTAATTTAATTTGTACATTGTTCCTGTTCATCTGATAAACTAGAACATGCATATAACAGTTTGCTATATATCAGACAATAGTTAAGGAGAAACAGCAAAAGGACCTGCTGGGAATAGGAACCAGAAATTTTATAGCCATCTAAGATGCAGTACATTGTCTGTGCGCATTCCATTAATACTTTTGGAAATTCATGAATCAACCTATTCAATCAGTTATTGGACAAGGAGATTTACGTAGACATTCTGCGATAAGTATTAGTAGTGAGTTACTTTTGGCAATTTATGAAAAACCTTAATGGCTTTCTGTATTGCTTATTTTGTTCTCTAAATTGCCAGAAGCTGCTGATAAAATAAGCAAAGAACTCCCCAAGAAACTTTGTACTGTTTCTAAGCATCCTTAAGGGATAGTTTAGCATCCTTTTCCTAGAAACTGCATAGAATTAGCAGTAGCAGTTCCTGCGCTGAAACATGTTTAGGCATCTTAGACCTAACAGGTTGAAGGACTACCATTCTTGTCCTGCTAGGTCCAAATGGATTAGACTCAATAGTGAAGCCAACTTTCTGTTAAAGTTTATAGAGGACTTAATAGGTTTTCCCCAGTGGATAAATTGGCTACAAACTTTTCTTGTCGGAGCTTGGGAATGCTTTTGCAGTAGTTATGACTTATGAGGTACTTGATACTAAACAGATTTCAGTGCATACGAAAGTGTGTTTTTTGTTTTTTTACCTGTTGGGCTTAATGCTGCATGAGATGTTTCTTCGGATGCTTTGATCTATCTTTGCGACAATGCAGATGTTTATACAGCTGTATTTGTTGATTCATATTCATTTTGTTCACTATGTTTCTGCAACAGGATAGTCAGCAGACTACCTCAAAACAGCAAATGCAACCTCTGGTCCATCAGGCTCAATTTCATCCCCTTCAGCAGGGTCACCACCAGCACCATATCAACCAAAGTCAACATATAGCTCATTTCTCTCACAATCAACAATGTGGCCCTCAGTCTCACTTGCCCGAAATTGTTCATGCTCAGCAGTCGCTAACCAATTCTCCGCACATGGCTTGCTTACAACAATTAGGCCATGTAGGAGGACGCATGCATATAATGGTGAGAGATCTTTTTATGTTGCTTTTTCCAAGTTATTTTTCTCAGCTCTATTATTTTTTTCTAAAAATACTGACCTCACAGCCTATTTAACGACATTGATAATGCAGCCTACAAGTCCTGCGAAGTTTTGTGATGAATGCGGTACTCCCTACTTGAGAGAGACCTCTAAGTTCTGCTCAGAATGTGGTACAAAAAGGTTAGGAATATGATGTATAAACTCATCAAGTCTCCCAATGTAAACTGTACATTACTTTGTAAATACATACTCCATCTGTCCCAATTTAAGTGTCTTACTTTCCCTTTTGGTCTATCCCAAAAAAGTTAATGACAATTATTTTAAAGCTTCAAAAGTTTTCTTATTTACACAAAGCCCCCACTTTTCGTCCTTCCTTTCCTCAAAACAATGTGGAGAGAGATGTTCTCTAGATGATTGAGGAGATGAAACTTTGAAATTAGTATATGCATGGATAGTAGTTACTTGTAATGCATTCTTTTTTGGTTTCCCCATTCCTCCGGTGTGCTGAGCCTGCATTGAAGCTCCGATTAAATTTGGATCGCGCACTTCGAGGGTATTGTAATGCATTCTTATTCCTTTTAAGATGAGACCTAGATATAGATTTTTCATTTTTTTAATAAAAAAAATTGGCCTTGGTTTGTGATTGTGAAGCACTTAAAAAGATTACTCCAAATCTAGTCAAACATAGCAATTATGGTATACAGTTGCACCATACCCACCTTTCTGTTGACATAATAATTCTCTTGCTAGTTCACACTTGGGGCAAAATGCATGTCTGCTTATGGAACTCAATAAATGAATATAACATTTTGTTGAAAAATGAGGTATCTCAAAAGGGAATGTTCCTTTTGAATTGTACAACAATAATATATCGAGTTTAGTTCTACAAAGTGGAGCATACATACACAAACATGACCTCTACTTTAGAGGTAGAACAATTGTTTTCGAAAGATCCTTGACTCAAGATACAAACAATTTAGAAAAAGTAGTGGAAAAAACTCAGATAGTAGCAGAATGATATTACGGCAAAATAATACTATAGTCAAACTACTTTTTTAATCATTTTCATAAAATAACTATTTCTAATAGTATTTGACTGGTTAGAGAATTGAAATGCACATTTGATGGATCTTTAATGTGGTTTCTATTTTTATTTCTCAAAATGGGCAAATTGAGCAAAATTAAATGAGTCTTGTTACAAAATTCTAACCAATTGCACTAGTGTTTCCCTTTTTAGGCTCTTATTCACTTCTCCTTTGTTTTGTTCAAATAAAAGGTAAAAAAAATGTAACTTTGAAGGGAGAATAAGAGGAAATTAAAGTAAGGTTGACTATTTTACAAAAATTTGCAATCCTAAAATGAAAATGATTAAAAAAGGGATATAAACTTTTATTACTCTCTTTGTGACAAAAATAATGGTGCAATAATATTTGGACAGCCAAATAACTTTTTCTTTAATTATAAATTTTGAAATATTTTTTATTACTTTAAATAGAACGAATGTATAGTGTGATGTATTGCACTCTACTCGAAAACACTTCCTATTAAAATAATTTCATTTTAGGATTCAAATTTGAAATCTTTGATTAATTATAAAAGAATACTTGCTACCTACCAAAATCTTTAATAGTCGAACAAATATATGAATTTTACTAATAAAGATATGAAAATAATCCTAATTTATTCTTAAAATTTAATTACCTTGACTTTTGTACTTGAAAATTTAATTTTCCTAAGAGTTGCACTTGAACAGTTGGACTATGAGATTAAAACTTCAACATGTACAAGTGTGATTTTGTAAAAAAATAAATCATTAAGTTTGTGAAATCTATTGAACTAAAGCAAATGTTCATGGACAAATACAATTCATGAAATTTTCCAAAAAAAAAAAAAAGAAAGTTAATTTAAGAGACAAAAACAAGCATGCATAGAGAAAAGTTTGTGTAGTTTATTAAACTAAAGCAAATATACATAAAAAAAAACATATATAAACGTTTCTTGAAAACAAAAATAATTTCTATAAGTGGGGAGATAGAGATTTCATTACTCTTCAAAGTGAATTACCAGACTTCAAAAATTAATATAAAATACTACAAAATTTAATCATTTCTAGTGATCGATTTTCTTTCTTCACTTTTTGTCAAAGTTTTAACTTGTATCTATTTCTATTTATAATCAAGTTATAAACCATAAAAAAAAAAAAACAAGGTAAAATAATTACTTGATTGACATGAATAGATCTTAAAGGGATATTTGAATTTTAAACATACATCCAACAATGAGCATGATTCTAGTTTGGTGGAACACTTCCAAACAATCTTATCAAGCTATCATCTTTAACAACATTAATGATTATATCTTAACATCTTTTTAAAGTAAATGTTCAAGTGACAAAGTTCTGTACTAATAGCATATTATAAAAATAAAATAAAAATTTAAGAAAAAAAAGAACAGTTTATTATTCTTCAATAACATATAAAATCTAAATGCAACACAAGTCACGTTGTAAGTCAAGTGATGTAACACGTAATGTCTTACATAGTCGCCATGCGTTGCTTCACATGACCGTCGAGTCAGTAAGTCGTACTCCACATAGATGTCATGTATCACCATTTAAAGTTATTTGCTTAAACTACTTACAAGTTATTTACTTAATTATAAATGTCTTCGAAAAATTGTTAAAGTACTTAAATGTACATCTTCAATTTGATGTATTCATAACAATTCAAGAAACCAATCAAGGTTGTAGTGGAGTGGTAAGTACGCCTTCATCCTTAACCAAATGTCTTGGATTCGAGTCTCCCTGGGTAGGGAGCCGCCTTTGATAGAGAGCGTTTTACCCCCACCATGGGACTTTTCAGCGCAAATACAGATTTAGTCATACTCCAATGTGAGTGAGACTTCCCAGCGCAAATACAAATTTAGTCGTACTCCAATATGAGACTTCATGTGAGTACCGAATATTGAGTGGAAAACAAAAACAATTCATAAAATTTCCTAAAAATCTGATTTTACAAAAATAGGATTTTAAAAAAAAAATAAAAGCTGAAAAACCCAAAAATAATACAAAAAATTAAAAATAAAATTGATTAAGTTAAAAGCCTCTCTTCACCAATAGCCTCATCTCTTTCTCCTTCTCTCTCTCTCTCTCCAAGCTCCTTGTTTTCTCACCCCACCCCACCCCACCCCCTAGGGTAGTTCTCTCTACAATAGATAGCTCAAATTTGCCCTTAATTGTATCATTCTTGTATATGCTTGAAAACCCTAGATCCACTCTCAAAGGCTTCTGCTAGGATCTGTTTGTTAGGGTTAATAACAATCATGGTGGGTCCTACACCGCCGCAGAAGCTGCAAATTCAGCCGCCACCTTCTTCTACACCGGCGGCGGCGCCTTCAGCTGAAGAAGAAGCTCTCAAGAGAAACACTGATTGTGTCTACTTTCTAGCTTCTCCTCTTACATGCAAGAAGGTTCAGCTCTATTTCATTTTATTTTTTTTGGGTTTAATTTGATTAGTAAATGATTATCAATTAGTTGAGATTAAGATTATAGTACTTCCTTTTAGTGTGAGATTTAGAGATTAATTGGGATTAAGATTTGGTTTTTATTAGTTTGTGTAGAGATTTGTATGTTACTTAGCAAGATTTAGAGGATTTCTTGGTTTTGGGATCCAATTTTTAACCTTTCAAGAGATGGGCAGTGGAATTGATATATAAGGTTTCGTATAGCTGATCTTAACTAGTTTGTGATTGAGATGTGCTTGTACTTTTGTAGTTGTTGATTTGATTTGAAAAGATTGTTGTATGGATGAATTAGTTGAAGATCTGTGTTTAAATGGCTGACCATTTTTTGCTTTCTAATCCAAGGTGATTTCTTTGTGTTTTTTGGAACTTGATCTACTTATGTTTTTAGCTATGGGTGAATACTAGTGATGTGGAAGCTGGGGTTTTTCATTTGGTGATTGGATAACGTCTGTCTTTTGTACTACTGATGCTTGATTCTGAAGTTCTTGTTCCTTTTTTGTTGCCTGCGTTGTCAGATTAAAGGAAGTATCTTTTTTTTGGTCGGATTTTAAATGAATTGTGTACTCGAGATTGTCTAGAGTGAGAAGCCACTGCCATATATAGAAGGTTTAACTTATATATATTTAGAAGTCTTCAAGTTACAGCATGTTGTCGTTTGTTGCCCCTGTGTTTTTGTCGTTCTTGGGAACGGTTAGGTTCTTGCTATTTGTCGTTTTGATACATCCACTCTTGCAGCTTGTTGATTTGTTTTTTGATTAGAAATGTGTATCAAAGATTTTATTTTTTTGATTTATATGATGGTTTTGTGATACATACTGGACTGAGAGTCAATCTTGGAGCAAGTATAAAGTTAGTTACTAGGATGTGGAAAATAAGTGTGCAGGTGAATGACTATCCGTGTATAATTATTAGCAATTACGTTTGTCGTTCTTGTCTACTACAAAATGTTTGTTTTGCATCTGAATTGTCGTTTGCTTTGGTCGGATCATGTGAGACCGTAACATGTGCAGTAACTGAATTTATTTCTCATTTATTTGTCTTTTTATAACCAATGGGGAAATGGCAAATGTTACAAAACCAGTTGGCATCGTGCTTTTACGTTATCAATTTCTCTGTGTGTGAATGAATACAAATGTGATTGGCTTCGCCATGATAGGGATAACGTTCTAGATGATTCAATCTTCGTCTTTGTTCTATACAGATCTAGGTCAGTATTTACCGACGCTCTAATTATTTTTATTTTGTCCATAGGGAAGCGAGTGTGAGTACCGTCATAGTGATGCTGCTCGGCTTAATCCTCGAGATTGCTGGTACTGGTTGAACGGAAGCTGCTTAAACCCAAAATGCGCATTCCGGCACCCTGTGAGTCATTCCTCTCTAACATACTACACATTCTTATCATCTATGTGCTATCAGTACCAAGGGTTCATTGCCGTGATGTGAACTTACTTATTTTCTTTTATTAGCAAACCAGGAGTGCTCTGTGTCTGTAAACTAATTGTTGGCATGATAGTTAATAATCTTCTACTTTTGCAGCCTCTTGATGGACTTTTGGGAGCTCAAGTTACAACTCCTACAGGATCTTCTGCACCGCCAATGGCATCTGTTGCACCTACACCGAATGTTCCATATGGTTCTAGCAAGCAAGGTGTACCATGCATTTTCTTCCAGCAAGGGTTTTGTTTAAAAGGTGATAGGTGTCCATTCTTCCATGCACCATTGTTTGTGTCTAACAAAGCTCCTCCACATCCTGTATCTACTGCATCTGCATCTACTGAGAAAACCAATTTTAAGGCATTTGGTGGGCTTGAAAAGTGTGTGCAAGAGAAGACATTTTTTCAAGCAAATATTTGGAAGTCTGGTGAATTATCTGTACAAGCACAACCAGTTGAGAAACTGAAAACTCCTTTGCCCAAGAATAATGCTGCCTTTAATGAGAATGTGTTGCCACCCAATCCTGTCATTGATGTTGCGCATCACAGGCACAAACCAAAAAGTGTGCCGCCTCCAAATGGAAATCCTGTCGGTAGATCCAACAGAGTGCAACAGTCTGCTAGGTTTGATAATCACAGTAGCTTTCAGAACAAAGATGATGAGATTTCAAGGGAGCTTTCACCTGGTTTTGATGTTCTTGTGGATGATGAGCTCAGAGGTACTGATTTTTATCATGGTGAAGGTCGATATGGCAGAAATGGGGGAAGGAATGAATATGATATTGGCCGATCTGCTGATTATACTTCAGTTGCAGATGTGGACCAAGATATGTACCATGATGTCTATGGGCATGACTCTCACGACAGGCTTCCGGGTCGCTCTGGTAGGGTGCAGCATAGAGCTTCTTCTGAGAGAGTACAAGGGGAATCCGCTCATCTTGAAAGGAGACGCTATGGTAGAGCTCACAGCCCTGAAGAAGTTCGAGAGCCAGATCTGAGGCATCGTTTATCAAAGCATAACAGGACTAATGGTTTGAGGTCAGTCATTAGTCATGACTATGCAAGTGAAAAACATGTTGAGGATCGAGGCAACCAAAGTTCCAGGAGGGATCGACCCTATGTACCTTCACATGATAGTTCCCTTGCTAGTCGTCTTCGCGGAAGAATAAAGCTACCAAGTAGATCACCCTCTCCAACTAATGGGACAGATATGCGGCTGGATAGGGCTAGGGACCGTGGCAGGTTATCTTCAGAAAGGCCACAGCTTTTCTCTCAACAGGGAAGGCTTCGTGATAGAATAAAGGGAAGAGTGCAAGAGGATCTCAATGATACTGGAAGAAATAACAGTGGTCCACGTATAAGAAGAGATGTAAGTGAGGATGATTCAAAATTTTCTGGTCCAAGAAGTCTTGCTGAACTTAAAGGTCGGAAAACTGCTGAGACCACTGAACAAAATATTGACGAGCGACAGGCCCTAGGGAAGCGTAAGTTCCAAAAGCGTGATGACTATCAGCAAACAGGAGGGGATAGTGTCTCATTTGACGGACCAATGCCTCTGCAAGAGATCTTGAAGAGAAAAAGAAGCAGTAAAACAGGCATGTCATCTGATAAGAGTGAAGACTATCAACATGAAAGAAAGGACCACTCTGTGCCAGTGGTGACTTCCTCCATCTCCAGGAACAATACTGACTTTGGGCAAAAGGAAGAGTCTGATCCTCCATCAGGTGTATCAGCTGATCATCAATCTCCTGCACACCATGGTGCAAATGAACTTGAAGCTGAAGAAGGGATGATTGTGGAAGAAGCAGACGATCAAGACCCTGAAGCCGAAGGTCATGATCAAAGAGATGGAGACTATGATTATGAGCAGGTCGATGGTGAAGATTACAATTTAGACGAAGGTGAGAATATTGATGCTGGTGAAGAATACCTGGATGATGATGATGATGATGAAGACGACTTTGCTAAGAAGATGGGTGTTGTTTTCTCATAAATGATGGGATACATCAATCGCTCTAAGCTATTTTAGGTTGGCTCGGAATGAGCAAATTCAACTGCTCTACTGATTTTTATCTTTTAGAAGTAGAGAGAACACTCTTTTTCTTCGTTGTATTTATACTCGGAGACTGGCTGGAAAATTTTCCACCGGTTAGTGGCATTTGGCAGATCTCTAGCTTTGCCAAAAATGGTGTTGACTGTAACATTAGAGGGCTAATAAGAAACATGTTTGCTAGTGTATTTTTTCTATAGATTTACAACTTTTTCCCCATATATACCTGGCAGAGTTGGAAGTTTAAAAGTTTTGTAATTTTCACAGGAGTTTTTTCCTTTTCATGCATGGTGAGAGTGCTTTTAGGTTAAAAGGGAAGTACTAGACTCATCTTATGTGATCTAGGTTTCGGTTTGTTTCAGATCCCTTGACGCTGGATTGGAGTTTGATGAAGCAATTGGTCGGACTTTGATTGCTCAGATTTTGAGAATGTGTGCCGTTAGATTGGAGTTTGATGAAGCAATTGATCGGGATTTGAGAATGTGTGACGTTGGATTGTAGTTTGATGAAGCAATTGATCGGTCTATGAGAATGTGCGACGTTGGATTGTAGTTTGATGAAGCAATTGATCGGTCTATGAGAATGTGCGACGTTGGATTGTAGTTTGATGAAGCAATTGATTGGTCTATGAGAATGTGTGACGCAGGGTTGGAGTTTGATGAAGCAATTAGTCCCTCCTGAATAATGACATAATTTGCATTATAAACTATCCTCTCTAAATTTCATTTGTAGTATAACATCGCCTAAGTTGTTTATTGTTGCTATATAATAATTGGGATATAACTTGCGTTCATTTGCTTTGATCATGTCACTAGACAATTTTGATGTAGACATTGCAAATGAATAAGTATTTTTGACGTAACTAAAGTATATCTCAATCTAAAAACATACATTAGTATTAATTGTTATAATCATAAATTAAAGGACAAAAACATATCAGCTCTAATTAACCATTGGTTAAACAATGAAACTTTAAGTAAAAGACAAGTGTCAACTTGATTTTGATACAAACACCAATAATACATGACCTTAACTTTCTAGATTCATGAATATTGAATCAATCGAATTATGTTATATCACTCAAATTTCGATTTTTCATATATAAATATAATTAATGTATTTCCTTCTTAAAGGGATATCTTTATTTGAAAAGGAGGTTTCATCGTTATATCGTGCAAAATTATTTTAACCTATTATAATGAATTACTAATCTAATTTTAACATTATTCATTTTAATTGTTATGAACAATTATCCGTGTAGAAAAACATACATAATTATTTGCAATTATATACTTGCAATTTAATCCCAAGAAATGCTTTTCCGAATATGTCTTACGTCACATAAATTTAAATTAGTGGGCTTTGAATGCACGTATCAGATATCAAACGAATTTTTATTTTTATTTTTAAAACAAACAAACTAAAAGCACATCCCTCAATAAGAGGTCTTATGTTCACGCTTTGAATATGAAAAAAATCTTAATAGGAAGCTATTATTCTACCCAATACAAACCCTGAATAATTAAGCTTCAATGTAAATAGTAAACATCGAGCGAGAAATCAAATAAAAAGCACATCTCCTATCCATTATTCACCCCACGTGTAATCTGTCGGATAACAACTGTGCATATTCATTACTTTTAGCAAATTTGCTGTCCAAATTGATTTAAAAAAACTTGTACATTTCGGACGAAAATACCCTCATCAATCTATTTTAAGCATTGTACAACATTTTTCTTCACGATAATAAAAAAAATCCTAGAACATTCGGGTAACGCCGCCGTGCTTCTCTCCTTTCTCGCCGGCCGTTTTAGACTCAATAATTTTCCGATCAAAGAAAAAATTCCCTAAAATTTCGTTTCTTTTTTTTTGGTGTCTAATTTCGGATATCCGGCGATGGGTTGGGTTGAAACGGCGGTGGAGCCGTCGTCGACGGCGGCAATAAGCTGGTGGGATGAAGTGAATGAATCTCCTATTTGGCAAGACCGTATTTTCTATGTCCTTGCGATCTTATACGGCGTCGTTTCTGCTGTTGCTCTTGTAATTTATCCCTATTTTGATTTAACTGTGATGAATTTTGAATGAATAGTAGATAATTTATGTAGCTGAGCTGTATTGATTGATTATTTACTGGAATTGGATGTTGATATTTGGTAAATTTTTGCTTATGCTATTTGTGTTTAGAGATATATGAAAATTTTGGGTATTTGTTGATTGTTAGCTTTTTTCTATTTGGGTGTAATACAATTTGGGGTTTTTCCTAATTTGTGTTAACCTGAGGTGGGGTCGTTTGGAAACAACCCCTCTAAAACCCGTCTTATGGGACTAAACTGAGTATATTGTTGTTGAAATTCAGGATTTTTAATCTGTTGAATGAATAGTTTAACTGAGGGTTCTGTGAGTTTTATTGAAAGTGAGCAATGTTAGAGTTATGTTATGTCGGATGTATTTAGCAAGAAAGAATGAAACTTGAGATGGATATGCTTTTGCTTTTGGTCTGTAAATCTTCTTGTTGCACCTTCTTGGTGGTTTTATCAATACAATTGCCATTTCTCAAAAAAGACTGAAACTTGAGTGTTGTTTGCAAGGTTTGCGCGCATCGTGTGTGGGTGGTGGGGGGTTACAGTTGTTGGTAGAACCTTAAATAGAGAATTACATGCTTTATTACCATGGCAATTGAATCATTTGGCAAGATCATGAAGAGCATGCTGCGAGTAGGAAGGAATTGACAGTTGGTAACCTAAATAAATATAGAATACATGTAATCCCATAGAAAGATTCTTTTTATGATTGTTGATTTAAATAATCATTTTAAATGAGTCGTATTTTGTTTAGACCAATAAATGGACTGAGGTTATAGTGGAAAGTCATCCAAAGGATTTAAAAAACCCGTGTTTTCCGAAAAGAATCTAAACACATCAAATAGCAATGTTTGTACTTTCGTGTTTTGGATTTGGGGGGGGGTGGTTGAGATAGGATCATATTAATCATTTAATTACACTTCAAATTGGTTAGCAACATGAATATTCTGTATCCTTTGGAGGATTTATCAATCTAATGCTATCCTCATCCTTTATTTGGACTTGGAACTGGCTATGCTTTGCAAAGCTCTCATGGGCGGAGGTAGGAAGGTAACTTAAGGTGAACTGGGTAATTCGTAAATTGATATTGATGTCCATTGATGTTTTTAGTTTACCATGACAGATATCTGCATATATTAAACATCTTTTGTAATAGAAATCGGTGTAGAGTTGCTCTTCCTAGTTGCCTGTAAATTTGCCTGATGTATGCTAAATAAAAAGGGCCTACACTATGCATTCATTCACTTCCAGTTTGAAACTGGAAACAGCTATAGGTTGGTTTTATCATTTATCTGTGTCCTTAGTTGATTTTGGATAATGATCTGAATTTCCTTGTCTATAATTTTTCTTCCTTATCCAATAGCCATTTTAATATGTGTTCTAAAGCAGATATCGTCTGTGACATCAATGCTTTAGTGTATTTATGATTCTGCAGAGTTGTTTCTAACTTTGTCAATTTGCAGGTGCAATTAATCCGGATTCAAATGAGAGTTCCCGAGTATGGATGGACCACTCAGAAAGTCTTCCATTTCCTCAATTTCTTGGTGAATGGGGGTTGGTATCTTCTTTTGTGATTATTTATGTTGGAAACATCCTCATGGAAATATTATGAGGTGTTTTTCAAATTATAGTCTGGTTATACTAGGGGAAAAATGAACATTTTTCCTTTACATTTCACTTTGCTTTGATCTGTTAGGTTTATATTGTATTGAAGTTGTGTTTTTCTCCTTTGGTAGTTCGCTCTCTGGTTTTTGTATTTCGTCGGGATGTTCAGAAGTTGAACCCTGAGGTTAGCCACTGACATTGGTTACATGTCTTGTTGCCGTTTTTATCTTGGTCTCTTTCATCTTGTAACCGTACATGTAATGTTTTGGTAGATTATCCAACACATCTTGCTTGATATGCCAAGTCTTGCATTCTTCACAACTTTTGCGCTTCTAGTATTATTCTGGGCTGAGATATACTATCAGGTTTGCGTGTGCTCTCAACTGAATGTTTTGCAGTTTGTGTCAATTCTCAAGCTTAATATATCTGCTTTTCCTGTTGCAGGCACGTGCTGTATCTACTGATGCTCTTAGGCCTAGTTTCTTCACAATTAATGGAGTGGTTTATGCTATTCAGGTAAATATTTAGTCCTCGTGCTACACTTTCTTCTGAAAAACTTTGGTGCTTTCGAGTTAAATTAACTCTTTAAATATTGAAATGGTTTAAACCAAAAATTATTTTGCCAGATTGAATTTGACAAGACTAGTCTTACAAACAATAATTGTCGTTTCATGTTCTCAATATTTCTCAAGTTCAACAGAGGTCTTTTTTTTTTACTTTTTGGTTGCGTTTATTTGTTACTTTAGTTTGCGTTATTTATTCTTAACTAAACATCGGCTTAATTTAAAATTCCAAAGAGGAAAAGGGAGGAGTGAATGACTACTGAAAACTACTAGTTCCTTTTTTCCTCTTTTTTGGGGGGCGGGGGGGAGTATCCCAGTTGTTGCAGCCATGCAAGTAGTTTACGACATTGGAACTTATATTGTTTTATATATTTGCCGTCTGAATCTCTTGAAGCCTATTGAAAGGGGAGACAGCATTGTATTTCAGCAAGCATAGTCGAGACGAAGACAGTTGAAGTGAAATCATACTCCAAATTAAATACCCCTGTTGTTAAACTTCAAATTCTAGAATCTTATTGAGGATTAATCTTAAGGCAAGTATAAAGAATTAAAGATGATTCTATCTAAAAGGACCGTATGCTGTCTGCGTTTGATAGATTCTCTCCATCTAGAAAATGTTTGATTCACCATTTTCTTCTTTTTTTTTGGGATGAAGCATCACATTTTATTTATAAAAAGCAATAAATGTCCCTACAGAGAAGTATACCAAAAAGTAGGAAAATCATACCAAAAAAAGTTGATTTTCTACTAACAACACACACTCTTCTATGCTTGTAGGATCTCATTAAAAAAACTAAGGGATAAGAGACTATTCTCTATACCATCAAAACTCTCCTATTTCTTCCTTTCCATATGGTCCACATAAATGCAATTCGTTGAATTATTTTATTAGCTGCTCACAGGTGGTCAAATTAGTGTGGACTGGGGTGATTAGTTCTGGTCTTGAATCAAGCAATAAATGGGCTGTAAAAGATGATGAGTTGGTGGAATTTGATGAATGCCTTTGGCAAAGATCATTTTGTAGCTATTATCAATCATAAATCATTAAATAGGTTCTGAATCTTATTAGTTATATAACCAGCATTCAGCTTGGCTTGAACTACTATCCACCCAGTACAAGCTCAACAAGTCTATTCATGTTGCTCTTGGATAGGTCACACATGTCCGACCCTTAACCCACCCATCAACCCCCAAATGTACACATCCAAAGTAAAAAGAATGAAGCACTAGTACTAGTAACTATACTTCAATTTCACCACTATGATACGGGAACTTCACATTTAAATTACATGAATAGGACTGGTTTTCTAAGTTTGAAGATGTCTTATCAAGAAGGGATACTGTGTTTGGTGAATGCTCATTGCCAGAGTCGGACATTACACAAGCTTATGTCCTGTTATAGTACTTTCACATGAAACAACAACTATGCCCCGATTCCGAACAAGTTGAAGTTGGCTTTATGAATCCTCACTAATCATGTTTATCCACTTAAGTTCAATACTATATACATTAATCTTCTAACACTCTCCTTAAGCTTATGCATGTAAGTCATATGTACCAATCCGAGCTTATTACTCATGTAACTAAGTATGAGGACTAGTGAGGGACTTGATGAAATATCCGCAAGCTAATCATTTGACTTCACTAATTTTTGTAATAATAACATTGTCAAAAATATTTGTAATAATATCTCTTGAGAGTATTTTTTTTCTTTTGATGAAGTAAGTGATGTACTAATAGCAAAAGCATCCAGTAGATGCAGGAATTACAAAATAAAAGAACATATCAACTCCTTAGAAGAAACCAAAAAATCTATTATTAAGACAATAGAGCTGATAAATTTGAACGGTTCAGCCAACAAAAAGGAAGGACAAATATCTAACCTTGAGTAGAGATGTGAAAGTTGAGATGCCATCAGAACATCTTTGATTCCTTTTTGACCAGAAGCACCACAAAATAGCAGCAGGAACCATAGACTGGATTTTCTTGATGGACTTCTCAACTTTCCAGGAGCTCCAACTCACAAAAGCTTACCGGCACTGCATGACATTGTTCACTGCAGTCCAAAAAGTGATAGAATCGTAGACCACGTGTCTGTTGCAGCAGGACTATGAAAAAAAATAGATGATTGATAGATTCCGTGTTGCTTTTGCACATATGGCATGTGTAACAATCTGCAAACCCCTTTTGCTGCGATTGTCCTGGGTCAAACATGCTACATTTGGTGTTATCCAGCAAAAAACACTATTCTTTGGAGGTATTCTAGTCTTCCTTATAAGTTTGTAGGGCCACTAGCCGATCATTTCCTTGTTGGAGCTCAAAGGTTGCATAACTAGCTCTAATTGAGTATTAGCCACTCTTATTGCTGCCCAATAAATCTGTCCCTATTTTGAGTAATGGTTGAGTTATTTCGAAGGCTGCCAAGAAGTTCTACCAGCTTATCAAACTCCTAATCATTTAAATTCCTTCTTGAACTTGGACTTCATGAGTTAGAGCCCGTTTGGATTGGCTTAAAAAAAAGTAGCTTTTAAGTCAAAAAAAATAAAAAGTCAAACTTAAATGACTTTTTAAGTCAAAAAATAAAAAGTAGGGGGAGACCTACTTTTGATTTTTAACTTTTTTAAAGTCATTTTAAAGTTATTTTTAATCTTGCCAAACACTTTTAAAAGTTAAAAATGACTTACAAGTAGGGTTGACCAACTTTTAAGTCAATCCAAACAGGCTCTTAGTTGATCCAAATTAGCTCACAAGTTGCTACAACCATGGCTTGATATTCTACTTCTGCATTAGATCGAGTAACCCCGCTATGCTTCTTAGTGGGAAGGACACAAATTACCTCCTACTAAAATACGATATCCAGATGTAGAAAGCTATCAAAAAGTGATCCTGCCTAATCAATGTCTATATATCCAACGATCTACTCATTGCCTCGATCCTCTAAGATTAATAAGGGAGAATTCTTAAAATGACTTACAACACACAAGAAAAGAAATGTTAAGTATAGTCACTGTGAGATAATTCAACTTACCAACTAATCGTCTATATCTTCCAGGATCACTGTGTAGTTATCCCATCCTGCGTCTGAGCAACCTCAATACCTAGAAAATACTTCAGTGAGATGGTGCATGAATTTAGGGATACCATCCTTATTATTGCAGTGATAACAATATCTTCTTTTTGGATGACCATGGTGTCGGGGCAAGCTGTCGCGCACCTCGCCTAATTCCACGAGTAGGTATCTACCTTCCACCAGCAATAGGTATCAGGTAACTTGTCCACCAAGGCTAGGACAGATGATATCTAATGTTTTTTTGGCTCCACTGTGTTTTGAATGTAAGACCTCAGGGTTCTCAGCCACTCCATTGACCACTAGGCCACACCGATGAAGCATAAATACACAGATTTGAAGCAGAATGACGGTAAAACACAAAATGATCAGCTTCATTAGGAGTTGTGCTGAACCCCTGAATTATTGTGTTGAACTTTCAAACCAGGCTCGAGGAGATACTTCAAATCATAGAGGGACTGGTTCAATCCGCATACAAGGTTACTAGGCTCCCCCTAAGCAACAAAAATATCAAACCCAAATCACAAATTGGATTGAAGAAAGGTCTACACCAGTTTTTAACAGTGAAAATTCAGCCAAACAATGACTGAAAATTGCAAAGTGGACCTGGAAGGGTTGCACACTCTTCAAATGCTTGAGAATTTGAAAGAGTCAAAACTCTGCTGAAACAGTGGAGAAGGCTGAGAAAAAAAATCAACTGTAATGCCGAAAAACACATTATTTCAGTGATGGAAGATAACCAAATATCTATCGGTCTAGTCAGAATCAGAAGGGGAGCTCCATGAACTAAGAATCAGCTTTGGAAGTCGTCCGAACACGCACTCGACGTGTGGTCTGATGCTGGAGCATCCACTCTTATGTGCACATGAGAGCACGTGGATGGGAGACTGTCGGAGGGTGGGGAACTCTGTGGTGATGTTGGTTTTCGCACAACACTGTCGGACACACATTTCATGCAAAACATCCCTAGAGAGTCATTAAATTTTGAGAATTGGTAAACATTGTATTCTTCAGCATATACCTTTAAAAAATTCAGAAAAGAACAAAAAGCATAATACTTACAAGGATCCTAAGTTGATCTGAATCCTCTAATCCTATCTCTTTACAACAAAAATATAGAGATACAATGCAATTCCATTTAACCTTGTGAATGGAATTGGATATATCTTAGAGAGTCATTAAATTTGATTCACAATGATTGTCTGACTGTGGTTTCTTTCCTGAATGTTTCTCACCAAAGCTCTAATACTATGCGAGAACTAAAGACACGGAAATTATGATTAAGATGCGTATCTACATTATTATACTGAGCCCTTTGTTTTGGTTTTATTTTGATAGTATATAATAACCCTTTTCTCATGTGGGACACTATAATTTAATATTCTAACAATAATGATACTGATATTATTTAAAAAATTCTAGGTTTTTCCTCGGATATAAATCTATGATTAGTTGAAGTATTCCTGGAAAAGCAATAGGTTCAAAATCAACGCACTAGCAAGACAACGTATTCCTAACTAGAAGATATCAACTATATGAATCTTCTTCTTTCATTTTGTCCTGAATTGTAGGTCTTTACAGCTTCCTTCTATGTAATTTTAGGTTTACCTCGTCCCCTTGCCTTCATTCACCATAGTTTCACATGGATCGGTGAATTTGTAGGTCAATGCAGAACATGAGTAAATCATCTCAAGCGACCTTCTCTCATTTTTATCTTCGATTATGTGCACCTTCGGGTGAATGTGCTTGTTTTTAATTTTATTTAATCTTATAGGACCGCACTTCCATTCTAGTATTCACATCTCTACAACACTCATCTTTTGATATGTGGGACTTTAGCGGTCCAACATTTACTACCATATAATGTAGCCGGTCTACCTCGTAGATAAAACAGTATATGAGAAAATGATAATTCTTTTCATGGTTATAGATGCTTTGTGGATGTTCATTGCTTGATTTTTTCTCTTTCTTATTGAATTGTTCAGATCATATTATGGCTGATAATATGGTGGAAGCCTGTTCCAGCACTTGTCATCTTATCTAAGGCGTTCTTTGCAGGTCTGTGTCTTATGGTTAACTTATTTTAAATATATTTTCTATTGCGTGGATATGTTGCAACTGCACTGACACATTTTCTTTTGTACTTGCATTATTTTGCAGGTGTATCTCTATTTGCAGCCTTGGGGTTTCTTCTTTATGGAGGAAGGTAAGATCTAATTTCTTTACCAGTGATTGGATCTAACCTCTGAAGGTGTGTGTTGGTGTAACCACACATCTTAGAAGCACAAGAACAAGCAGCATTCATATGCCGTGCATTTATTTCTGTCCTTTGTGAGAAATTGTCTATGTTTATCGAAAGAATATATGCCTAATGGCTATACAGAGCCTTAAACCTCTTCTACGAAAGCCTTAACCACTTCCATTTTCGTAAATGTCTGTTAGTTATGCTGTGTAATTGCTGTATGCTTTGCTCAAGATTTTCTTTTGGATAAGCAATGATCTATGTACCCAGATGCAAATCCATATATTTTAACCTTTCTGAGATTAATTAAGCTGAGTCTCTGGGATCACCTTTTTCTGAACTTAGGTATTTCCTATAGTAAGCTGCATCCCAGGTAGTAGATATCGTTCGACCTCTGATTGCCAATGCATACGGTTTTATCATTTATCTATAGCAGTCCATATTGCTATGCTTTACACCCTGGTGCCTTCCTGTTGTTGCCCAACATTTGACTATTTTCATTGGCACCAAACTTGTGTTCGACACATTGTGATTGATAACTTCGTTGAATCATAGGACCGTGAGCTCCTTTTTCTTAACTTGCTCATTTCTCAGCCAAAACTTATAACATCTTAGCTGCAATTCTTGGCTCTCAGCAACAAAAAAAAGCACTTGTAGGGATTTGCATCATGACGGAGCCGACAATAATCCCGCCACTATGAATACATAAGACTCGCTGCATGATAGAACTCTATGTACTGGTATACAAGGATATAGTGACATTTTAGCTGCTATAATCGTCTAAAATTTTTACTTTGCTTATTCATCTACTAGATTTGTGCTAACAAAATCTCCTGCATTGTAATTTTGAAATGTGTAGTGTGTAACCTAATTAGGTCCTGATTAATATTGATATGAGTTCACTCTTTGCATGCTATGGGAAGTAGGTTCTACATGTTCGTTTAGTTTGTCCCTTCACCTTTGGTTCATACACACTTCAATATAGTTTGAGGTGAAAAAACATGTTAAGTGGATAAGTCATGTGTTGATACCTATTTGATGATCACAATTTTCCTTCACCTTACATCACCTCTTGCAGGCTTTTCCTTATGTTACAGCGTTTCCCTGTAGAATCAAAGGGGAGACAGAAGAAACTACAGGAAGTATGTCGCTCACTATGTATCTTTCATTATTAGTTGGTGTTCTTCTTGTTTAATGTCATCTAACTCTACATATATATTTTGGTATCTGCAGGTTGGTTATGTGACAACAATATGTTTTTCATGCTTCCTGATTAGATGCATTATGGTAAGACCACATTTCTTGTTAATAAACTATTCTTAACTGAATTATGACCATACCACAGAAAGCCTTGCAAAGGAGTCCATCCACATTGTGATGTGTGATTGACCTCTGTGGGTTCTCCCTATATGGTATTTTTATATTGTAAATATTGTTGTAAATTAGTCTTAGTTTATACTTCTAGGAATTCAACTGAAGTTTTTAAGAAGGTAATGAAACTAACTTTGTTCTATCCATCTTACTCTTATTTCTCTTATCGTTTGCGTCGCAGATGTGTTTCAATGCATTTGATGAAGCTGCGGATCTTGATGTTTTGTACCATCCAATTTTAAATTTTGTATACTATCTGGTAAGTTCTAACAACACTGAACCTTTAGTGTTAACTTGCTTTTGTTTCGCACATTATTCTTTATGTTCCAGTGAAGAAGATCAACATTTGCAGTTAGTAAGTGTAACGGACAACCTCCAAATCATAATTTAATTGGATAAACGATTTGATTTACCAGTTTGTCGCATGCTACACCCTGTTTTCATGTGTCAAAACTTCTTCCCAGGTCCTTTTTACCTAAGTAATTCCTTTGTCAGGAGCTGAGAGGTTCTTGTTTATGTCAATGGTATTTTAGTTTGCGAATCTCCAATTTAAAGCATCCTGGTCATTTTGTTTCTGCTTATGTCTTCATCAATGTTGTGTTTTTTGCTTTCCTTGAACCAAGGGTCTATCAGAAACAACCTCTCTAACCTCTCTCTGCCTGCCAAGGGTCTATACTCTACCCTTCCTAGACCCCACTTGAGACTATATTGGATATGTTGCTGTTTTTAAAGCATCTTGGTGAAACAATGGGTGTAGGAGGGTTGAGTGTGTGTATTGAATTTAAAGTCATATTTGTATTCCTTGTGTCCTATCTTAGGTGCATTTTGATGGGAATTTGACTCATGAGTGTTCGAGATTTGGACTTTTTGGCCTTTGTTAACATTTTTAAGTGCTTTAAAAGAAGTTTATATGTTTTGAGGATGACCAGACTTCTGTCAACTCTTTGCAGTTGGTAGAGATTCTACCTTCTTCGCTCGTCCTTTTCATTTTGAGGAAGTTGCCTCCAAAGCGAGGGATCACACAGTACCACCCTATTCGCTGATACAACAGTGTGCATTGGATGATGGAAATCAAGCTCTGGGATCAGGGTATCAGATGAGTTGGCTTTTACGATACTCGTCTTACCTATAAGTGTTTGAAGCAAAGACCATATAGTGAGATATTGTACGTGGAGCATGGTTCATCAGGACTCTTGGAAAAATAGTTTGTTCTCTGCAGATATTAGTTATGTCTGTAATTTGTTTGTAGTCTTGAAGCAAGAGTTGTGGAAGAAGTTGTGTTATTTCTAGTGTAATTATCTTCATATTTGTATGTTTCAGATTTCAATTGATTATTCTTTCCCCCCATCTCTTTTTTCCTTGAGTCGGAAGGTCTTTTTGAAACAATCTCTCTACCTCTGAGGTAGGGGCAATGTCTCATGTACACACTACCCTCCCCAACCCGCACTTTGTAGGACTATGTTGGGTACATTGTTGTTGTATTCTTTTCCCCCATATTTCAAGTCTTATTTCGTGGCGTGCTAGTTTGGAACACTCTTAGGTTGTGCTTGGTTACACACAGAGAATCAATATCTACGTGATACATAGCAAAGAGCAAAATATTATGATGCATAGAACAAAGTAGATGTTATGAATTGTACCTGGAATATTACAGTGAGATTAAATTTGCAGAAGGAAGAACCGTACGAGATAGCTCACGTATGGTTTGCGAGCCTACGTCAACACTTATATAATAGCCAAACGGGATGAGAGGATCGACCCCTTCAGAGAATTTTGAAGAAAGGCTGTTCCTTGAAGATGATTGTCTTCTCCAGAGAGATAAATTGCTAGTCATACACCTACCTCTCTTTTAATGAAGAGTACTGGTTGGTGCACTTGCATTTCAGCATTTCTAACAACCATTCTCCTTGATCACGCCTTTACTTTTGTTAAAATGCTCAATTTCATGTTTGAAAACTTTGTACAAATTATATTTGACTATTTAAGACTTATTTGGTTGGTTTTGATTGGGACACCAGGGGTTCACAAGAAGGAAAGGCCTGCACTATCATACAGTTTGGGTGCAATCGCGCAAGACGGGCTAGACAGGTCAGTGATATTTCTCACAAGGCAGACAGGCATGCAGCACTTGTGCATGAGCTAGAGGTGATCGCGCAGAGCATAACACTCACTTTGGGTTGTGACTGCGCGATCACCTCATAAGATCAAGTGCTTTGGCTGAACTCATAGTATATGTTGCACAGCTTAAACAAGTCAACAAATCAATTAATGGCACCAGTAAAATGATCAAAGTTTAAATGGCAAGATCTCAATTCAGTGTAGCCAAAGGAAACAGAGAGATGTATGAAGCAAAATTAAAGAACATAGTTCAAGAATTCTAGCCCATTAAAGTCTTAATCCAAAGATTTTTAAGTTAAAGAATTAACGACACCAACAACAGAAACATCAGCTTCCAAAATGCAACAGTCTTCAATAAGAAAGCCCTTTTTAGGATCATTGAATTCACAACATGGCATAAATGATGACCAGCCCCAACCCTTTGTAGCAGCTGAATACCAATTTGAACTACCTGTAACAGAACAATGTCAAATTATTCAAAAAACCAGATGTAGAAACCAACCAATTGAGGGGGAAGGTATCATGAGAACGCAGAGAAGCTGTTTACGATATATATATATATCTATATACATATCATCATTTTGTCCATTGTATGTATGTGTATATTCTTGTGACTTTTTACATGTTTTCATCCCCTTCAAAATCAGAACAAACAAATCAACTCTAGAGAGTTTGATTTGGTACTGATTGAAAGTGGTTTATTAAAGAACTAAGTTCAATGACAATTATTTTGTATGGTCATCATTTTTTCATGCTATAGAGTTGCGATAAATGAAAACATTTTCTTTCGTATCAAACATTTAACAAATCCTGCAGGAAATCAAGGAACAAGAGAAAGTACCACTCTTGTTGTGATGTTCACCACCAATCTGGTTTTTGAGAGAAATGCTAAATTTTGCCTGGACTCTTTTTTGGCGATTAAATCCTTTAGCATCAACTGATTCAAGAAAGACGGAGATGTTCTTACCATTTTGTCGGTTGTCACCTGTAGGATATAACGAAAGTTTCCTGCATATTCCAGACACATCAAGTACTCGTAAAGTTACAGTGTTAAAGTAAGTTCAAGAGGGATTTAACGTATTTTCTCAAAGAAATAACAACATATTATATATACCATTTATAACCATCAACAATAAACTCTTCAGAATAGTACACTTTTTTCTTCAATTTTGTGAACTTAGTAATCTTCCAGTTGTGCTTATAAACCTTGGTGCCTTTCAATAAGGACATACATTCACCTATTCCCTGGTTCTTGATGACATATACGTCAACTCCAACGACACATTTGTCATTAACAAGGTAACCATTAGAGGGATCTTTGAATGTTTTATGAGAGATACATTTCGAAAAGCCCCATTCAGTCTTGATATTGCGAAAATGCCTCTCCATTCCTGCATCAAAACAAATTTAGTCATAGAATTTGGCCACAAAAGATGTAAAAGTAACCGTCTGTCAAGAGGAAAATAATGTCATAGAGTGAAAGAAAAGACTATACCTTTCATTACATTATAGTTGTCGTGAATTTGATCGAATATCAAGAAGCTAAATGAGACATTCACCGCCCAAACAGCATGTAGGGAACCTTTCCCAATAATGGCCAAGTATACAGATATATGGCCTGCTCCATCTACATCTCCATCAGGATAAATGATCATTTTCCTATCACATGTTCATGAAATTTTAAACTTTCTTTTCAACCTCGTGGAGATAGAGAGGTTTTCTGAAAGAAATTTGGCTCTCAAGTAACATATACCAAGAAAATTTGAAAAAGCCAATACAGAGGTAGAACAAGGCACAACAAATAATGGAGTAAGGCATATGTAACATACCATACATAGTAGAATAATAATGTGATAATCGAAGCATAAGAAACAAGAGGCAATAGCAATAATCTAAGAAGAGCGAGACAACCCTCAAATACCTTCTACTCAGTACTCTCCTATCTATAGTCATGTCCTCGGTGAAGCTGTTTCATATCATGTCCTATCTAATCACCTCTCTCTAGTACTTCTTCGACCTAACTCTACCCCGTCTTTAAAAGAAAAAATAAAATTGAAAATGTAGTCAATAATGATGAGCAAGTACCAATTGAAGCCACCGGATTCGAACTCATTTGATTCATACTTGGAAGTACCATTTTCTGAGAGCAACGAAAATGATTCAATCTTCCACAAGTAACGTCTTGGTAATGAATTTGTAATATTTTCCATGTTTACTTCTGAAATGGAAATTTAAAAAAGTTAACATTTTGCATATGATGTATAAACTACTTTTAAAAAAACAATATTTAGCGACAGACAAATTTTGTAGCTGATACTACCTCCCATGGCTCTGTTGCTGACACTACCTCCCATGTCTCTTTTGCTAATTAACTTTTATGATCACTTCTTGTTATATATATATAAAATAAATAAGTAAAGAAACTAATAAAATATTGCATAATATTCTAACTGCCTAATTAAAAGGATTAGGGAATATTCTTATATCTAGACTATCTAATCATACCATATATAAATATTTTCATATCTATACTATCTAAATATACCATAATTAACACAATTAAACACCTCAATTCCTGATGAAGTGTTTCAATTAGACATTTTTGTAAAAAATATTTGAGTGTGTTTTCATTAGTTTATTATGTGATTAAATTAATCATATAAAATGTGACATCTTTTTTAATTATACGCACCAACCTCAAGTAGAAAACGTCTGGAGTTTTATGACTTATTTGTGGCGGATGAATATAAATAAAGGAGATGACATATTTTATGTAGTTAACTTAATTAAGTAACAAACGAATGAGAACACATACAAAAATTGAATCTGAAGTGTCTAATTGAAATACTTAATTAGGAGTTGAGGTGTTCAATTGCATCATGTATTAGTTCGAACGTATAAATGGAATATTCTAACAAGTTTAAATGGTTGGCTATGTATTAAGCCTTCCAATTTTATCATGTTTGGACAAAAATTTTAATAAACATTTTCCGTAGAAAACAAGTTCCTTAAAAAATAAAGAAAATGATTTCCTTAATGGAAGTAGAAAAAACAAGTTTCATAAGTATATACTAAGTTTATTGTCTCCTCCCCACTCATTCGTTGCTTATGTAACGACCCACATTGTGATTTGAAACTCCTTTCCCTGAGAAGACCTTTCCTGTAGTTTTATTAAAGTTTGGGATTAAAACAAGTAAGGAAGAGAACCCTTTTAGCTACGACAATGAGTATAGACCTCTTCCCTTCACTACTTACCCAATGGACCACTTAGAATAAACTGAATTGAAAGCGATAAGCATTCTGTAAACATTCCAAGTTTTCCATGCTGCTCATTCTCTTTGTATGAAAAGTAGGAGTAGAAAATGCCATAGGTAGAACCTCCCATGTATTCGTTCGTTGGGTAAAAAAATTTAGAAGTGTAGGGAGAGGCTAAAAGAGACATTTTAAGGCCCACTAGCCATTCGGCAGGGCTGATGAGTCTGGATCCAACCGAGACCAGGTCCAACCGGGCCAGGCTAGGCTAAGAGAATTTTCCACTTGTCTGCCCCATCAACCAACCCGGTTATCACCGGGGCTGGGACAACCGGCCTACTTAAACCGAGCCGGGCCATCCCATCCCCTGCCACAGTTTCTCATTTCTGGAAACTCAACCAGTATAAATAATGCCAACCATAACATTAGAGGGAGCCTTGTATTATATTTAACCACACACAGCTTAAACAAGTTAATGGCACCAGTAAAATGATCAAAGTTCAAATGGCAAAATCTCAATTATGTGCGGCCAAATTAAAGAACATAGTTCAAGAATACTAGCCCATTAAAGTCTTAATCCGAAGATTAAGTTAAACAATTAACAACGCCAACAACAGAAACCTCAGCTTCCAAAATGCAACAGTCTTCAATTAGAAAGCCCTTTTTAGGATCATTAAATTCACAACATGGCATAAATGATGACCAGCCCCATCCGGATGCAGTAGCTGAATACCAATTTACACCACCTACAAGAGAACAATGTCAAATAACCAGATGTAGAAACCAACAAATTGAGGGAGAAGGGGGTGGGGGTGCAGGGGTTTACCCCTATCTTGAGAAGGCAGAGAGGCTGTTTACGATATATATATATTCTTGTGTCTTCTTTCATGCTTTCATCCCCTTCGAAATCAGACTGCAGATAATATACTATTTATTGAGGAAAAGGAACAAGAGAAAGTACCACTCTTCTTGTGATGTTTATAACCACTAATCTGGTTTTTGACGGAAATGCTAAACTTTGCTTTGACACTTTTTTGGCTATCAAAGCCTTTAGCATCAACTGATTCAAGAAAGATGGAGATATTCTGACCATTTTGCCTGCTATCACCTGTAGGATATAACAAAAGTTTCCTGCATATTCCAAACACATCAAGTACCCGTAAAGTTACAGCGTTAAAATTTAGTGGACAAGTAAGTTCAAGGCATAAATAAACTATATACCATTTATATCCCTCAACAGTAAACTCCTCAGAATAGTACACTCTTTTCTTCAATTTTGTGAACTCGGTAATCTTCCATTCGTTCTTATAAAGCTCGGTGCCTTTCAATAAGGACATACATTCACCTATTCGCTGATTCTTGATGACATAGACATCAACTCCAAAGATACATTTGTCATCAACAAGGTAACCATTAGACGGATATTTGAATGTTTTATGACTGATACATTTCGAAAAACCCCATTCAGTCTTGATATTGCGAAAACGCCTCTCCATTCCTGCATCAAAACAAATTTAGTCCTATACTTGGGCCACAAAAGATGTCTGTCAAGAGGAAAATAATGTCTTAATACCTTTCATTACAGTAAAGTTGTCATGAATTTGATCAAATATCAAGAAGCTAAACGAGGCATTCACCTCGCAAACAGAATCCAACAAGCTTGCCCCAATAACAGCCAAGTATATAGATATATGGCCTGTTCCATCTCCATCTCCGTTAGGATGAATGATCATTTTCCTATCACATGTTCATGAATTAGGAAGTTTTAAACAATCTTTCTTTTCAAAAATTAAAAAATAAAGAAGTGACAATATGGAAACAAGTCTATAGCCAGAGGACTAATAACAATTCTACTCAATGAGCAACGCGTCCAGCTTTCCAGACATCTCACCGGAAAACAAATAAGAGAAGAAAAACCACAAGACGAGAGGAAAGTAAAGTTAGTTACTTGTCTGAACCATAGCTTCATAGCTCATTACAATTTACCCTTTATTGTATTCGTTTACCAATCTATGGTACACGTTAGGGGTGTCAAATGAGTGGCTTGAACTGAAATAGAGCAAGCTAAAAGGGCGATGAGTTGATAAATTGGTTCGACTAAAATCAACCCAAAAGCTACTTGGGCTGAAATGAGCTAAAAAAAAAAGGACCAGGTATGACCTGACTAATTTGAACCAACAACATACCTTAGTGTATTAATCCCCGCAAGTGGGGTTTGAGAATGGTAGAGTGCACTCAAGCCTTATCCCTACCTCGTAATAAGACAATTCAAAAATGACAATACCGAGCTAGAACAAGGCATTAAAATAATGGAGAAAGCATAACAATGTGATAAACAAAACATTCACTACTAGAAACCAAGGAATTAATGACAGACATAATTTCGCACTAAACGGTGAAAATTCCATGCTAATCTCATTTAGCTATAAATTGGTGACAAATTACTAGAAAATTCAATTAGCTAGGAGGGTTTTAGCAACAGATTGCTAGGGATTGCCGACAAATTCCCATTCCATTTTTTCTTGTAGTGATAAGAAAAACCATGTAGTAGCACTAATCAAAGAACAAAAAACTACACGAATAATGTTAATACTATCTACCCACCAAGCTTACCCCATAGGAGACCGAGACAACCCTCAAATAACTTCTCCCTTCTATCCTAATTTGTGACCTCCATATACTCTTACCTTAAGATAATGTCATCGGTGAAAACATAGACAAAAAAATAAAATTGAAAGTCTAGTCAATTTTATTTTTTTTTAAGTTAATGATGAGATAAGTACCAATTGAAGCCACCGGATTCGGACTCATTTGATTCGTATTTGGAAATATCATTTTCTGAGAGCAACGAAAATGATTCAATCTTCAACATGTAACGTGTTGGGAATGAATTTGTAATATTTTCCATGCTTACTTCTGAAGAAAAAAAAAACAGGATTTAGCGACAGACAAATTTTATAGCTAAACAACACAATACATACCAAAATATGTGATACATACCTACCTGGCTACCTCCCATATCTTTGTTGCTGATTAACTTTAATTGTGTCAATGAACTGTTGATAATTATTTGAACCTTTTGGCAATATATATAAAAATGAAATATTTCATTACTATTATATGAAATAATAATCAAATGGACTCCTCCTTTTCTTAGCTTTCCTAGTCAATTAAGAGGTCTTCAATTGTTTTTATCTCAATATATATCTATTCATACGTCTTTTCACAACATAGATACGATTAAATAGGTATATTTAGCGGTAATAAATATGCGTTAGGATTTTATCATGATTTTTTTTTATCTTACTTGAGTTTTATTTTACCGTAAACGAGTGGGTTCCGTAGTTAACTAAAAAGGCGATCGATTGGCTTGGAGAGGAAAGGAAAGTTATAGACCCTCTTGTTATACTAGAGGAACATAATAGCATTTACAATTTAATTTAATCGTTAGAGAGTTTTCTTTATGGGTAGATTTTCTCTCAATATAGTTTCAATATTTTCTTAGTTATTTTCATAGGTAGGTCAATTGGCCGAATCATAAAATAATGTTTTGTCTTTTGGTATAAATTTTTGTGTCATATGATTTATCAATATGATTTGTGATGGTAAACTTTTGCATGAGGTTCTGATTCTTTTGAATGCAACACATTAATAAAGAGTGGTAAAATATATATTTGTATTAGTTAATTGTTATTGAATTCGATATTGGTATGGGTTTTAGTGACATTTACAAAGAGTGTTAAAATGTAATTGTCACTAGTAATTACCTCTAAAAACATATATTGTGAATTGCGACTATTAAATTATTGTCGTCAATTAATTATCACTATAAATCAGTTTTGATGTAGTGTATAAGATACGAATAAGGTCTGAGTATACATTATTCTCTTCAAATTTAATTTGTGAGACTACACTGTGTGTAATTATTATAATAATAAAGTGGGAACTCTATAATTGTGAAGTGTTTTTTTATTCAATTACCCAGATAATGTCTAGGGTGTGTAATCGATACGGAGGAAAATATTTTTACATTTAACATGGTCAAATCCTTAAACTTGTCATATTATTTCATTTAGACACTCAAATTAAGTTATGTTTCAATTAAACACTTCAACTCCTAATAAAGTGTTTCAATTAGACATTTTCATATAAAAAATATTTATGTGTGTTTTCATTTGTCTATAAGGTGGTTAAATTCATCACATAAATATGACATCTCATTTGATTGTACACATCAACCTTAAGTAGAAAACGTTTGAGCTTATGCGGCTTATTGAGACATATACATATAATTAAAGAAGATGACATATTTTATGTGGTTAACTTAATTACCAAACAGATGAATGAGGACACATACAAAAAGGTTTATTCAAAATTTGAACCCAAAGTATCTAATTACAACACTTTTTTTTGTTGGTTAAATAATTATAACACTTAATTAAGAGTTGAGGTGTTCAATTGGAATATAGTTTAATTTGAGTGTATGAAATATTGTAACAAGTTTAAGAGGTTGATTATGTATAAGTCTTTCAATTTTATCATGTTTGGTTGACCAATTTTTTAGTAAACAATTTAGTCCATAAGTTTCAAATATAATAACAACCTATCTAGGGTATCAAAACATAAAATAGAATACTAAAACTCATTTATTTTATTGTATCATTAAATTCATCACTAGTTAACAATGAAAAGTCCATTTATATAACAAATTTAATGTTATTGCGTTACTTTAATTTTTTTATTTCCATCATTTTATCTTTTACCCTTCCTTTCAATAATAACTTTATCTCATATCCTATTTTTCTTGTAAATTTATTCTTTAAATTATTGATACGTGACATTATGTAATTACGAAGAACAATACCATCTATTCAAATACTATAGTGAATAAAAAAATATAATACCAATACAACACAACACAATACAATATCGTACTTCTTTCCACAAAGAACTTTTGCTTCTCAAGATTCGTTGTATGCTATTACATAAGAGTAGAACATTGTTATCAAAGAGAAAGCATATAAGAGAGTGTTGGGCACTATACAATATTAGAAAATTGTTATCGAATGAAATACTATTTAACTACTATAATTATACATTACTCCCTTCGTCCCATTTTATGTGGCACCATTTTCTTTTTGGTCAATCCCAAAAAGAATGTCACATTTCCTTATATAGTAAGTATTTAAAGGTGCAATTCCTCTTTTACCCTTGTTGGTCTTATTTAATCTTAAAGATAATACTCCAATATATTTATGAGAAAAGTCAGTCTACTTTTTAATATGACTATTTTTAAAGGGATAATTTGATAAATATTTCAAAATTTTCATTTATTTTTTAACACCGTACCCGATCAAATGTTGTCACATTCGGGAGTATAAAACAATAGATACCGACCGTCGAAACAGAATGTTAAATAGCTCCTAGAAGAAGGTAATAAATAGAAATAAATCTTCATATACATTTCCGCCTAAAATTAAGTCCACTCTCCCCTCTCTACTCTCTCATACAAAAAGCACAAAATTTCTACAAAAATTTCATTTTCTAATGGCGGAATCCAAATTGGAATTGAAATCCCCACCAAACCCTAACTCCTTAATTGTCTCAGCACCGCCTTCATCTCCACCGGAATCACCGCCGGTGACTACCGGTGGTGGATTTGTTCCAGCGGTATGGTTTCGGCAACGGCCGAAGATAAGAGTGACAACGGAGTTTGACAGCGATAGCTCTGTATTCTTCCACAGAATTTCATGCAAAGTGCTGGATAGTTTAGCGAAGTTAAAGTTTTCGTTTCAGAATAATGGTAAGGGTGAGCTATCGGATCCTCAATTGGCGTTAACTTCGAAGTATTTGTCACTTCATTATGATATTGAAGAGAAGAATGCTCTTGTCAATGCTTCGTTTGATGTGGCTCCTGGTTTGCAGTTTAAGGCTGTTCATGAAGTAAAGGTGTGAAGTTATACTGCTTTATGTAATACTTTTTAGTGGGTACTGAGTATTGGTGTTTGTATTTTGATTATGGAGTTTTGAATTCTGTGTAGCTTGACCTTTATTTGGTTTCTAATTTTCTGTGAAAATAGAATACAACAACATACTCAGTTTAATCCAACAAGTGGGGTTTGGGAGGGTAGTGTGTACACAGACATTACCACTATCCTGTGGAGTAGTCTCTGGTTTGCATTTCAATACTGCATGTGTTGTGAAGGTCTGAGCTTTACTGCTTTGTGTAACACTTGTTCTGTAGGGGTGTTTATATTTATGTGATTTTGTATGCAGTACAGTTTGACCTTTTATTTGTCTAATTTTATACTGTCACTGTTCCAAATCAATGATGGTGATCTGATATCGGCAGATTTATGTGTGTGTATCCACATGTGGGATTTCATTATTCCATATATATAACCTCCATTTATATAGATATCATCTATATTCAAAGTTTATACTACCTAGTTCTATGTTAATTTAGATATCCCTTCCCAATATTTTGAGTAAGATACAATGAAACGGCTCTATTTCAGGTTAATACTATATCCATTGTTCAATATTTTTGAAATTTAAGATACATAGTTGAAAATTATCTATGAAGTAATGTAAGTCATGATTTATTATGATTATATTTAGGAAATGTTTCAAAAAAGTCTAAGTAAAAGAAAACATGACTCCTTAAACTGTATTAGTGTCATATAAATGGGTCCCCAAGGGTTAGCTCACTTGACAAAGTTGAGAGACTTGTGTCTTAGGTCACAAGTTCAAGTTTATGCGTTCAAGCCTTGTGTCAAGCGAACTAAGTCGAGTATATAGTTGAGAAGGGTAGAGGGGAGGTCCCATCATCCCCTAGTTTAGAATGCTACAGTTGGCCCTAAAGATTGGTTCTAGACGGATTTCTCGATTATTAAAAAAAAAAGGGGATAAACGGAGTACATTTGTTTTGGCTTATTGATTTGTGTATGAATGTGAGGGGGGAGACTAGCCCAAATCCCCCACTTGCACTGTCTCATGCTTTTCCCATTTCCCATCTGGTGCAAGCTTTAATCAGTATAGAAACTCTGTATCTTGATTATCTTATTTTCTTGTGCAACTCCACATTGTAATTTAGGAAGGTGTGGATGACATGAACTAGGGTGGAAGGTGAGTAGGTAGGAGTGCATCTATACAAGTAAGTAGGGGTGTATTGTCTTGTTGCCCTTACTATCTGTTGTTTTGTGTAGTTTGATTTTAGAATTATTGTTGTAGTACTGTTCTGCTACTATTTGTTGTTTTTTGTTATTTTCTATCGTCTTTTGTACTTCCATACATCTTTTTCTAAAATTGTTTTGTCTTGAGCTGAGAGTCTATCGGTATCAACCTCTCTACCTCACCTCTGAGGTAGGGGTAAGGTCTGCGTACACTCTACCTTCTCATCCCACTATGTGAGATTACATTGGGTATGTTGTTGTTGTTATAACCTGAACTCCTAATCCAGTCAAACACCATCATACAAAATGGGGTGGAGGAAGTAGACAATACGGAGTTTGATGAACTTGGCACATATAAAGATACACATGCTTTCTTTCCTATCTTTTATGTGCCATCCTATTGTGAACCTAAATTGTGCTGAAGTTATTGGCAAGTTTATTGCCAATTGATGTTGCAGGATCATTATTAAACTCTAGTTTTCTAGAAATACAAGTGACACTTTGACTCGTTTATGTGTTGCTTCAGTCTCCGTATTACTATCTAGTATGTGATATGATTGCTTCTGTTTTCATGCTTTATGTGCACTATACCACTTCCCACTCACACTTCTTTTGGTCATACTAGTCGCAACAAGGAGAACTGGCAATGGTAGCTGATCTGGCAGGTCCAGCTTACAAGTTTGAGTTGTCTTCTGCTGTTCCAGCAATTGGCAAGGTATGACCGTATCTCTAT